ATTTAAATTTATTTATGTGATAATTATAATATTAAAATTAATATTAATTTTTATATTTTTTTATACAAATTTATAATAAAAAGTTTCTTTAATCTACGTATATCAATACAAGTTAAAAAAACTCATTTTATGATTCAAACCTAAATGAACTGCTTTTAATTAATAAAAAAAGAAAAGGTGCAAAACCTGCAATATCACTTACTAGTGAAGGGTTATTAGCCACCATAAATTATTGAAATTAAATAAATTTTAAATTTTTATTTTTTAAATAATAATTTAATTTGATTATTAAAATAATTAATAATTATAACTATTAATTTATAATTCTATATTTTATACTTATCTTTTATTAAACTAATAATGAATTAATTTCGAAACATGAAACCTGGTTTCGTGAACACCTCCGTCAATCGTCATCATTGAAAATAAAAGAAACATTATTTTGTAAAATATTATTAATAAAATTATTTTTTATACTGTATTATTTTATTAAAGATATCGTAATGTCATAAGTGCAACTGCACTCTTTATTAAAGATATCGTAATGTCACAAGTGCAACTGCACTCTTTATTAGTTTAGAGGTGTAAGCAATCTTACCTGACTCTGCACTCTATAGTAGTAAACTGGAAGCAGTTGTAGCACGTGGAATCTGAATATTTTGACAGGGGTGGAATCTGAATATAAGTATATGGTTCTCTATTTTTCTTTTAACCGAATCTGGTTCTCTATGTTCGAATCATTAAAGAACCATTGAGTCGCGACTCACCGACTATATGGGGAATCAATGCTCAAACTCATGAATTTCTTGTTTCCCTAGAAAGTGAGTAATTTTGGAGGTGTGAAACGAGAAAAGAGGATAAAATGCAACGGAGAGATGACCCACGTAGAATTTGTTCCTAGGCTAGATCGCAAACTGGAACAAGACAAAAACACCCATCTAACATTCATACTTGATTCGGAGAGACGTGCACCACGAAGACATCATCAAGTCTTCTGTTCTGTTTTCTCTTCTCCTCCTCCTCCTCCTCCTCCTCCTCCTTCCCTTTATATCGTATGCATACTCCTCTCTGACCTCTACGATTCCCCCTCTTTCATCTGTTGTTGTTTCAATGCGGAACAGAACAGCAGCTAGTCGTAAGGGACATTTGAAGTGGTCGTCCTCCACGCACAATTTGTAATGAACAAGTTCGATCCATTTGGTCTTGTTCTTTGATAAAAAATCAAAAATGGGTAAAAAAGAAAAAAGAGTCTTTCTTTAAGCACATTGAGGTTCCACAAAGAGAAGACAACTCACCCAGAACGAAATCATCGGGTTTGTTTCTGCTTTTCTATATTCTATTCATTTCTAAAAGAAAAAGACCCGTCTTTTTGGGGTTCATCTGTTTAGAATGATTGGATGCATGTCCATTTCCACTTTCCTTTTTGTTTTATGCGTATAGATTACAGTTCATAGTTAATACATATCAATCACTTTGCACATTACATCCATTTTCTGTTTCTTAGTTTTTTAAGCATGTATTTTGCGTTAAAATATCTTCACGTGCGTGTAAATCCCACATTACATTAGAAAATGTATGGTGACTTCTTTTTGAGATCTTAAATAATTTTTTGCCTTCTGGGATTTGTTAATGGTTGATGGAAGCTGGTTTTCTTTTCTGGGTTTTGGTTTTTGACTTGAACTGGGTTTTCTGTAGGGAGTGTATGCACCAGAAATTTGTCAAGATTAATTGCTGAGAGCAAGGATCAAGAAGGTTCTTGAATTTTGGTGGTCCAACAGGTGTGTTAGATTCAAGACTTAATAGTTATACTTCTTGTCTAGCAATTACTTTTCAATTCTTTTTCACTGGAAACAAATTCTATGTTGAGGAAATTTATGGTGAAAAGGAAGGGACTTGGAGGAGAAGGGAGACACACGAGCGTTCCCTCTTTATTGAGGTGAAAACTCCATTTTCTCATTCATGTTCTGCTATTAAATAGCAGACATATCTCAATACATCAGTAATTTTCATACTTATCTAATACATTTAATGCAAGATTACATTAAAAGACTTGCTGCCACTTGTGCAGCTTCATATGGCTGTATTTGCTGCTACTTTGCAGCCTCATTTGCATTTCATTACAGCCTCATTTCATCAACATTTGCAGCATAGCTTGCTCCACTCTGCTGCTACCGTGTTTGGTGCAGCTCTCCCTTCATTTCATTTTGCTGCCACCTGTGCAGCTTTCTTTCCATTTGCTGCCTCTTGTGCAGATTTGACACCACAGCTCCAACATTCTATCATGGAAGCTCCATCGTTGCTTTTGTTTGCTGCAAGTTTTTTGCTTTGCTCTTGCTCTTAATCAAACCATTTCTACTTCTGCCTTTCAACAATAGCTTCCTAGCTTTTGTGTATGATCTTTGGACTGCACTCGGATATTGGAACTAATGAGTAGATAATGCTGATTTTCCTTGCCGATTTGAGAAAAACAAGGAAATTGATTTTGATTTCCTTTTCATTTTGATGCTTTGAGCAGCTGACTTACTGGTTCTGGGTTTTGGTATTATACATAAATTCTTTTCATGGAATTTTCAGTGTTTGAAGATCAAGGAAAAGGGAAAGATGATGGAGGGTTGGTTCAAAATGTACTGTGGGGACTCTGCTTGTTTGGATGGAGATGGAGAGCCATGCAATTCTAATTTAGTGCCTTTCACAGATCCCTCTTCCTGCATTTATAATGCCTTGATACTCTGTTTTGATATTGTGCTGTTAGTCATTCTCTTGTTGGCCATGATTCGGAAGTCGTCATCAAAAACAGCTCATATTCCTTCCCGTTTTCAGCATCGTTCTTCCTTGCAGATGGTTTCTGCTATTGTTAATGGCTGTATTGGGCTGGGGTACTTGTGTCTAGGCATTTGGATTTTGGAAGAGAGGTTGAGGAAAACCCAGACCACTTCACCTTTGAAATGGTGGTTGCCAGTGCTGTTGCAGGGCTTCACATGGTTATTGGTGGGTTTAACTGCGAGCTTTAAGGCGAAACAACTTAGCAGGACACCATTGCGGCTACTATCCTTACTTGCATTACTGTATGCAGGAATGATCTGCACCTTGTCCATTTCAGCTGCCATTTTAAACAAAATTTTAACTGTGAAGATTGCTTTAGATTTTCTGTCTTTGTCTGGAGCAATATTATTTCTGCTATGTGCTTATCGAAGATATCAGTTTGAAGAGAGTGATCAGAGTGCAGATGAAGATGGCCTCTATGCTCCTTTAAGTGCTCAGGCCAATGCAAGCGATAAAGACAATTTTGGAGATGAAGTTACACCATTTGCCAAAGCTGGTTTCTTCGGTAAAATATCGTTTTGGTGGTTGAACCCACTGATGAAAAAGGGTAGGGAGAAGACTCTTGATGAGAAAGATATACCCAAGTTAAGTGAAGAAGAGAGAGCAGAGAGCTGCTATTTGAGATTCTTAGAGTTATTGAACAGACAGAAACAAGTTGCCCCATCATCTCAACCATCTGTTTTGTGGACAATTATAGAGTGCTACAGGAGGGATATCTTCATATCTGGGTTCTTTGCTTTGCTAAAGACACTCACTCTGTCTGCTGGTCCTATGCTTCTTAATGCCTTCATTTTGGTTGCTGAGGGCAAAAGCAGTTTCGAATATGAGGGTTATTTGTTGGCCATATTACTTTTCCTTTCAAAAACTTTGGAGTCTTTATCTCAAAGGCAGTGGTACTTTCGAAGCAGAGTACTAGGTTTGAAAGTAAGGTCTTTACTCACTGCAGCCATTTACAAGAAGCAGCTGAGACTATCCAATGCTGGTAGGTTGATGCACTCTGGTGGTGAAATAATGAACTATGTCACAGTTGATGCCTACAGAATTGGAGAATTTCCTTTCTGGTTCCATAACACCTGGACAACAGGCCTTCAGCTTTGTATTGCATTAATAATTCTCTTCCGTGCAGTGGGCTTAGCAACAGTTGCTGCCCTGGTGGTTATAATCATAATGGTCATATGCAATTCTCCACTTGCCAAGTTACAAAATAGGTTTCAAAGTAAGCTAATGGTTGCACAAGATGAGAGGCTTAAGGCTAGTTCGGAAGCTCTTGTGAATATGAAGGTGCTAAAACTCTATGCATGGGAAGGCCACTTCAAGAAAGTTATAGAAGGGTTAAGGAATGTGGAGTATAAATGGTTAAAAGCACTACAACTACGAAAAGCATATAATGGCTTTCTGTTTTGGTCAACCCCTGTTTTTGTCTCTGGTGCTACCTTTGGTACATGCTATTTCTTGAAGATTCCTCTACATGCCAGCAATGTTTTCACTTTTGTAGCGACATTACGTCTTGTTCAGGAACCTATTAGATCTATGCCAGACGTCATTGCGGTTGTCATTCAAGCTAAGGTTGCATTTGCACGTATTGTAAAATTCCTAGAGGCACCAGAGCTACTAAGTGGGAATGTCCGGAAGAAGCGTCATATGGAGAATGCAGACCAAGCCATCTCCATATCAGCTGGTTTTTCATGGAATGAGGATTCGTCAAAACCTACCCTCAGAAACATAGGTTTAGAGGTTAGGATGGGTGAAAAAGTGGCTGTATGTGGGGAAGTTGGTTCTGGTAAATCAACTCTTTTAGCTGCAATTCTTGGAGAAGTTCCTTGTGTCCATGGATCTGTAAGTTATAAATTTGTCTCTTTATTTAATAATAGAATTCTACCTAAACTTTTCTTAGTTTATCGTGCCATAGAACTTCCATTATGTAGCAGGGGCTTAGCAGCATTAGCTGTTTCTCAGTTTTTTACCTTATTAATCTTTCACAAAATAAAAAATGTTCTTACTCAGGAATATATTGTGTTAATGTAATGTACAGATTCAAGTATTTGGGAAGATTGCCTATGTTGCTCAAACAGCCTGGATTCAGACAGGAACTATACAAGAGAACATTTTATTTGGGTCTCCCATGGATAGGCAACGATACCAAGAAACGCTTGAGAGGTGTTCATTGGTGAAGGACCTTGATTTGTTAACTTATGGCGATCTGACCGAAATAGGTGAAAGAGGAGTCAACCTAAGTGGTGGTCAGAAGCAGAGAATTCAGCTTGCCCGTGCGCTGTACCAAAATGCTGATATATATCTCTTGGATGACCCATTCAGCGCTGTTGATGCCCACACAGCTACAAGTTTATTTAATGTCAGTACACGGCTACAGATTTCTACCACCTTGCTGTTTGGATTTTTAATTTCTGTTGAGAGCTAAAAACGTGCATTTTGCAGGATTACATTATGGGAGCACTTGCAGCAAAGACAGTCCTCCTTGTGACCCATCAAGTTGATTTCCTGCCAGCATTTAATTCTGTTTTGGTTTGTATATACCCTCCATTGTCCTTCTCCTTCATTGTTTTTCTTCTTTAAAAGATTATTTTAAACTCATCTTAGAGAAGTGTTGTTTTAGTTAATTTTGATTTTGTTAACAGTTAATGTCGGATGGGGAAATCCTACAAGCAGCTTCTTATCATCAATTGTTGACCACAAGTCAAGAATTTCAGGACCTCGTCAATGCACACAAAGAGACTGCTGGTTCTGGAAGGGTTGCTGAGGTTAACTCTTCCCAGAAACATGGAAAATCTGGTAGTAGAGATATCAAGAAAAGTTATATCGAGAAACAGTTTAAAGAATCAAAAGGTGATCAATTAATCAAACAAGAAGAAAGGGAAAAGGGAGACATAGGGTTAAAGCCATATATGCAATATCTCAATCAGGACAAAGGCTTTTGGTTCTTGGGCATGGCAGTTCTTGCGCACTTGACATTTGTGGTTGGTCAGATTTTACAGAACTCTTGGATGGCTATCAGTATTGACAATCCAAAAATTAGCACATTGAAAATGATCGTGGTTTATTTGCTTATTGGATTTGTCTCAATGCTGTTTTTACTATGGAGATCTATTTCCACAGTTACATTGGGCATGCGATCATCAAAATCTCTATTTTCACAGCTTCTAAATTCTCTTTTCCATGCACCTATGTCTTTCTATGACTCCACTCCGCTAGGAAGGATACTTAGTCGGGTAGGCATCTCAATCATGAAGAGTGAATGTATTAGAAATGGTCCATGTAACTCACAATTGTATGTGTTATCTTTTCATATGCAGATCTCCTCAGACCTGAGCATTGTTGATCTTGATGTCCCATTCAGCTTAATCTTCGCCTGTGGGGCCACAATAAATGTTTATAGTAATCTTGGAGTACTGGCTGTTGTTACCTGGCAAGTGCTATTTGTTTCAATTCCAGTTGTTTATGTAGCTATTTGCTTGCAGGTAATTCTACAAGTCCTTTTTACAAGTTATTCAGGATGTCACCAAGCAAATGTACCTGACCTTGCGATTTTGGTATTTTGTCATACAGAGATACTATTTTTCCACTGCAAAAGAGTTGATGCGTATAAATGGCACAACCAAGTCCTTGGTAGCAAACCATCTAGCAGAGTCCGTAGCAGGAGCTGTGACAATAAGAGCTTTTGAGGAGGAAGAGCGATTCTTTGCAAAGAACCTCATGCTCATTGACACTAATGCTAGTCCTTTCTTCCACAGTTTTACAGCAAGTGAGTGGTTGATCCTGCAGTTAGAAACACTTAGTGCATCTGTTCTTGCCTCTGCAGCACTCTGCATGGTTTTGCTTCCTCCTGGGACTTTTAGCCCTGGTTAGTATATAACAAATTTTATTGCTGATCCAAAAATCTCATATAGGTATTGCTTTTAGCTCAATTCCTTAAATTATGTTAAGGTACTAGCTTTTTTTCACTAAGATTATAACTGCTGTTGTTGCAGGATTTATCGGAATGGCTCTTTCTTATGGACTTTCACTAAACACGTCCCTTGTTAACTCAATTCAAAACCAATGCACCCTAGCTAATTACATAATCTCTGTTGAAAGACTTAACCAATACATGCATGTCCCAAGTGAGGCCCCTGAAATGGTAGAAGAGAACCGGCCCCCACCCAGCTGGCCATCTGTTGGGAAAGTGGATATCTGTGATTTGCAGGTAAATTTTGTGCTTGTATATATGTTCTACTGCATAACAATAAGTATGCTGAAACAATTGATTGAAAAAACAGATCAGATATCGGCCTGATGCACCACTAGTTCTCCGAGGTATAAGTTGTACTTTCCTAGGAGGGCATAAGATCGGCATTGTTGGCAGAACTGGCAGTGGGAAGACAACTCTAATCAGTGCTTTATTCCGCTTGGTGGAGCCTGCTGGAGGGAAAATCATAGTAGATGGCATTGACATCACCACAATTGGACTTCATGATCTGAGGTCACGATTTGGAATTATTCCTCAGGATCCCACTCTTTTTAATGGGACCGTGAGATACAATTTAGATCCTCTATCTCAAAATACTGACCAGGAAATATGGGAGGTAAGTCTCCACTATTTCTTTACTAATAAGTTACTCAAAATACCAGAAAGTGCATATTTTTTAGCTGTTCAGTGCTCAGAGCTGATGTTTATGTTTATATTTTGCAAGGTTCTTGGAAAGTGTCAGCTACGGGAGGCTGTTCAGGAAAAAGAAGGGGGATTGGACTCCTTAGGTGAGTTTCCTGGTATTCAATAATATCTCCTGCATATTGTTTGCAATGGTGATTTTTAACTGATAACAACAACTGGTTATGCAGTTGTGGATGACGGATCAAACTGGAGTATGGGGCAAAGGCAGCTTTTTTGTTTGGGCCGTGCCCTTTTGAGGAGAAGCAGGGTATTGGTGCTTGATGAAGCTACTGCTTCAATTGACAATGCAACTGACTTGATTTTGCAAAGAACTATCAGAACTGAATTTGCAGATTCAACTGTTATCACTGTGGCTCATAGGATACCAACTGTGATGGATTGTAACATGGTTCTTGCCATCAGTGATGGTGAGTTTCATCTCCTTCATTATCACACAAAAATAAACCTCCTGGATGTGATTCTGTTCTGATCTAGATGTTCTTCATCTTCATTGTTTCTCTTTTATGAACTTTACCAAGACCTCCAAGGCATGAGACTTATACACTATGGATTATGCCATATTTCAGGAAAAATTGTGGAGTATGATGAGCCAATGAATTTAATGGAGAGAGAAGGGTCGTTATTTGGACAACTTGTGAAGGAATACTGGTCTCATTACCACTCTGCGGAATCACGCTGAAGCTACTAATATTTTGTGTAGTCTCTTTTCACTCTTAGCACTTCGGGGTTGGAAAGCATGTAAGTGTATGATGCATGGGACCAAATAACACCTAGTGCAGCCTTGGAGAGGAATAGGTGGGTAGCAATAGAAGTTCCTGCTCTATGTTGTATCGGTGTTTTCAAACGATCATCAATATTTTCGGAGTTCTTAAATGGATGATAATTGCCCATTTTAACGAAAGAAGAGCAGACTGAAATCCCATATTAAGATCTTATTAATATGAAGAAGCAGAAATTGGAACTTTCTCTAAAGTTCAAGAAACGAGTTAATGAACATATTAGGTTACAGAATCAACCCTATCCAATTGCTTGGAGATTTTTTTTTTTTTTGGAAGAGTTGTACATGAAATAAGCAGAAGCAATTAAGTAGCCTTTATGGTCCTCCGAGAATTGCATTTTCAGTATCCTCCCTGCTCAATGCATAGCTGAATCTTCTTTCCACATCTCTTTCTAGATTCCCAGGTCCACTCTTCAAGTACCTGCACGATATAGATCAACCATAGTAATTTAAAAAACTATGGAAAATCACTAACAAGCTTCTGGTTGTAAAAACCTAAACCCAAGAGGCTGCTTGAATGCTCAGAGAGGGCTTCACAAGCAGTCAAATTCATGGAGAATGTATCAGAAATTATATTCATGACCTAATCAAACCTAAATAAAAATTGGAATCATGTCAAGCACCAGAAACAATTAAGCAATCCTTCAAACTGAAAGCATCATTTTCTAATGTGAAATTTTCTTTCACCATCTCCAACAACTGAGACTTCCTCATAACGAAAGACAATTTCTCTACGCTTGAGTATTCTTTTATCACATTCCATCCCTCAGTACTTGGCATTACTTTGTGGAAGAAACATGTAGTCCTTCAAAGACTTAAGTACTATAGTGCTATTTAGATTGAGAAATCATCCTTCTACAAATGAAGCAGGACATGCATCCAGAGATTTTTGGTCCACAAGTTTAAGGTGGATGCAGGGGCAACAAGGCAGCCTAACATCCTCGCACCAGATCAAAGTCATAAGTTATGTCTTTCATTTGTAGATGTTGAATATTGTCAAACCTTCTACGCTCTCTCTGTCACCAACCTCTTTACCTCAATTCAGCATTTTCAATGCACAAACGTGATACAACATTAATCTGCATGCAACATTCTTTCAACTTCCATCCTTATGCTAACTATTATTGGTTTGTATTTAACTTAAGTGATTTCATCATAAATCCTTCTGATCTAAATTTTCACTTTTATTACCTAAAATTCATTTTCAAAGTGTCAATCAATTTAGTGATATTTTTGCTAGAGCTTAAAAAGAAAACATTTATGGTGTTTGAGGTCCTTAAACAAGGCAATGCATTTGATGGTAATGGTAAAACCTAGATATAGACCGTAACAAAGCCCTCGATCCTCGATCCACCACCAAAAAATATGAAACTTGTCAATAGTATTCCTTCTGCAGTTCATTAGTGAAAGGGATATGAAAACAAATGCACTTAAGGTCCAAGGTATAGATATCTTTTCTAATCTCAGAAGAACTGAACTTCTTCACTACTCTTATTCACAGATTCAACAGAAACCTTGTGTTCTTACCAGAATCTAATAACAGCAATCAGCAACAGAAGCTACGTGATTTTACCAACAAATTTTAACTTGGTGTTCATGGGATTTAGTCAGTTTGCAATCAAATTAGAAACCATAAATGCTTTCGCAATATCCCAACACCCAAATGTTCAACCCAATCAAAGATACAACTACCAAACTCCAACTTCTTCCAAAACATTAACTAATATTATCAATTAGTAAAGCCAAAATCTCCCCAAACTCCAGATGATCAAACTATAACTGGTGATCTTCTTTTTATATGATTTAGCAGCTACTCATCCTTCAAAACCATAATACTTCTCCGTTTTAAAATTAAGATAATCTAAACAATCACAGAAAAATAAATAAGATTAAGCATTTCCATGCCAAATTATCAATTGCTAATTGCTAATTGCCAAACCATCATTAATCTTGACAAAATCTAACCAAATATCATAAACCCAGATGCAGAAACACAACCATATTGCACAACCCAAACACAATACATATAATACATACAAGTACAACGTTATCCCATCACTAAATGCTAAAAGCCGAGAATTTTAATTTACCTGATATATAGATCAGTAGTATCAAGAGATAATTGGGCATGCCAATCCGATCTTTCCACCATCCAAACAGCACGGTCCTCTCTTCTCTGGTAAAATCCTAGGCTGCTGAGCCATGCTTCAATGCAAGGCAAGCTGTGAGAGTACAAGGGCTTGTTCTTATCTGGAAGCTTATCCAGCTACTCATCATTTGGGGCCGGAAGCTCCTCCGCTTCAGGTGATTTTGAAGAAACTGAGAGATGGGTTCTTCTTGGAAAGCTTGAGACTTGGTCGGAACATAAACATGGAGGGGATTTGCGAGACACGGGAAAGTTTACCGTGGAAGAGCAAGAGAATTTGGGAGGAACTGGGATTGGTGAAAAAAAAAGGGAAATCAGTAAGGAGGAATTTGGAGGCATAAATAACAGACATAATTCCTGTTACGATTTATTTGGCAGTGTATAAGGAATTTTCTCGGAGAATTTATACCATGTTTTTTTTTTTAACATATTGAAATTATTTATATATATTAATTAATTAAAAAAAAATTGTGTGCTTAACAGAAAGTA